AGCCTGGGCTTCACAGTGAGTTCAAGGACAACCTCACTACACAGTGAGACCTTGGTTCAAAAAACAAGTTTGCTTGCTTGCTTACCAAATTTGATGGGTTTGTTCCACCTATTGGACACAAGTCCTGAAACAGACAAATGTGTTGCAAGTATTTGTACTAAGTCTGCTTTGTGTCTCATTCTCTTAATAGCATCTTTCACAGAATAATTTTTAATTAGAATTTTAAAAATTAATAAAGTCCAACTTTTCAGTTACTTTTTCATGAATCATGTTTTTGAGGTTATATCTAAAAAGTCATCACCCAAATAGAAGTCATCTAGATTTTTTCCTGTTATCTTTTAGAAGGTTTACAGCATTTCTACATTTAGGTTGATGGTCTACCTTAAGTTAATTTTGGAGTAAGGTGTAAATTCTGGGTTTAGATTGTTAATAATATTATTTTGTACAATAGGTGTCTAGTATTCCAGCACCATTCACTGAAGAAACTACCTTCAGGGTTACCCCAGGTGACCAATCGTTTTTGTGTCTTACCAAGATCCTCTGACGACATTCGTGTATGTCCACTCTGTCCTGGTTGCTGAGGCTTCACAGCAAGTGCCAGGCCATGTTGAAGACTATAAATCTGTCTCTCCACAGAGCTTCAGAATTGCTTTGCTAGTATTTTGATTAGGACCTCATATAGTAAGAAGTTCTATTAACAATAATGAGTCTTCCTGTCTGTGAGGTTTGATTTCTTTCCTCAGAGTTTTGCAGTTTTCCTCATATTGTTCTTGTCCATATATTTTAAGCTTTTTATCTTCACACTTCATTTAACTGTGTTAATGTAAATGATAGTATAATTTCAAATTTCAATTGTTCATTGCTGATATATAAGAAAGCAATTGTTATTTGTACAGTAAGCTTGTGTCTTGAGGTTTACTGTTATCATGTATTAGATCCAGGAGTTGACAATGATTTCATCTGTGACCCAAAACAATATTTTTTTCCATTTATTTATTTTGATCACCTTATTGAACTGACAAGGATTTCCAGTATGATATGAGTAGTGTAGTGACTGTGTAACTTATCTTTTCCCCCAAATTAAGGAAAAATTAGTCAGTTTCTTATCACTGAGTATGGTGTTAGTTGTAGAGTTTTTGCAGATTAGGCTGGGGATTTAGCTCAGTGGCATAAGCGCCTGCCTGGCAAGCACAAAGTTGTGAATTTGATCTCTAGTGGGAAAAAAAGAGTTTTTATACATCTTTATCAAAGTTGAAACTCCAGTCTTGGTTCTCTAAGAATGCTTTAAAATGATAAATGAGTTTCATATTTTATAATTTTTTTTGCATCTATAGGTGGGACACTATGACTCTTTTCTTTAGCATGTTGACATGATAGATTATATTAATGGATTTTTGGTCAAACCAGCCTTGCATTCCTGGAATAAATACCATATAGTTGTGGTATATATAATTCTTTGAATATGCATGGAGTTAATTTGCTAATATTTTGATGAGAATGTTTTCATCTATGTGAGAGTTTGGTATATAGATTTTCTTTCTTCTAATGTCTTTATCTGGCTTTGCTATTAGAATAATGCTGACTTCAGAATGCACTGAAAATATTTTCTATGTTTTTATCTTATGGAAAAGATTGTAGAGAATTGATATCATTTTTAAAATGCTACTTGGGAATCACAATGAAATAATCTGGGCCTTGTACTTTCTTTATTTCTGAGGGTTATTAATTATTTTATTTATTTTTAATACATAAAGTCCTACTTAGACTATTTTCCTTTATATGAGTTTTGGTAATTTGTATCTTTCAGGCAACTGGTACATTTCATCTAAGGTATCAAATTTGTGAGTATAGAATTGTTGTAATATTTATTTTCTTTTTTAGTACCTGTTGGATCCATAGTGATGATTTCTCTAATGCTAGGAACAATTTATATTTCTTTTTTTCTCACTTTCTTAGTTAACTTGGGTAAAAGCTCATGCATTTTATCAAATTTTGCAAAGAACCAGCTTTTGGCTTTGGTGATCCTCTCAATAGAAAATGATTTCCTACTTCTGACTTAATTCTGCCCTAAGCTTCATTATTTCTTTTCTTCTACTTCTTTTTGACTTCATGTTCCTTTCCTTTTCCTATTTCTCAGCTAGGGAGTTGGGTGGCTCTTTTGCATCTTCCTTCCTTCCTGACTCCTGCATCCAGCATTGTCCACATCCTTGCAGGATCTGTGACTGCAACCCATAAACTTGGTGCACAGCACAACCATTTTCATTTAATTCAAAACAATTCTAAATTTTCCTTGAGACTTCTTTGATCCTTGTGTTACATAGAAGTATGTGATTTATTTATTTATTCAGTTTTTTTGGGACAAGTCTCACTATGTAGCCCAGGCTGGCCTCGAACTCAGAGCAATTGTCTTGTCTCAGCCTCCTGAGTGCTGGAATTACAGGTGTGCACCACCACACCTGACAGAAGTGTGTTATTTAGTCTCAAAATAGTTTTGAATCTTCTAGCTATGTTCTTGCTATGATTTCTGGTCTGATTTTGTTTGGCCTGAAGGTATACTTTGCATGACTTCTATTCTTTTAAATCTGCTAAGTGGGTTTTGTGGCCTATTGGTAAATATTCCAGGTGCTCTTGGGAGCATTATCTTTTTTTTTTTTTTTTTTGGTTCTAGGGATTAAAGTAGGATCCCCAAGGCTTTTGCACTGAGCTCCTTCCCTACTTCTTTTTGTAAATTAAAAGCAACAATAAGACCTTTTAAGGCAGGAGTTTACAAAGTTGTTGAGTCTCCCAGGCTGGGCTCAATCTCTCTATCTTCTTGTCTCAGCCCCCCAGGGAGCCAGAATCGAGGCTGTGCACCACCATACCCAGCTTGGATGAAGTATTCTCTGAGTGTTATTGGATCAGATTGCCTGATGGAGCTGTTCAGTCCAACCATGTTTTCACTGATTTGGTGAAGGAGCACGGGCCCTCTGACGGTAACAGGATTTGCGTTTTCCTCTCCTGTGTGTCAGTCTCTGCCTGCTGCATTCTGACACTTGGTCATTCAATGTATACATCTTACATATTGTTACGTTTTCTGGAAAACTGGCTCCTCCATAATTGTGCAAGGCCCTCTTCATTCTGGATGATGTCCCTTGTTTTGATATTTGTTTTCTATGAAAGGAGCTTACCCTCAATTAGTGCTAGCATGCTATAGCTTTCTTTGTCTTTTTATTTTTAATCTGTATCTGTATGCTTTAAGTGAATTTCCTGTGGAACATACAGAGAGGTCAGGTCTTGGCTTTTGAAAGCCCATTTTGTTTTTACTGTAATGTATGCAGGGCCTCAGCCTCACCCTGTTCACATCACCCATAGCCCAGGGACAGCTATCAAGACTGAGAAATGAGTGAGGGTGCATGATCTTGAGGGAGCCCAACCTGATCCAGATGTTCCTAGAGTTCCCTCTGCTGTCTCTTTGCTGTTTCACAATCCATGCCAGGACCTGAGAGCATGTGAACAGGTGTCTCCTACAACTACCTTTAGCCAGAGTGCAGAAATAGCCAGCGGGAGGGAGGCTGAGGCAGGAGGACCGTGCCCAGGCTCATTGATAGCACTGAGGCACAGGCGGACCCTGTTGCTGTGGCCTAGAACTCTTTACTCTGACAACCTTTCACAACACCTAGTGTTACAGGCTGGAAGAGGTGGAAAGACTGAGGCTGTCATGACGCAGTGGCTGGACACCTTCCCTGGACAATAATGAGAGAAGTCTTTGCCTTCAAGTGCCAAATAATCCTTGCTGGTGAAGGTGGATTCCAACCTAGCAGATTTAGGGTTCCAAAATGATGGCCAGGGTGGTCTGTGGCAGAGATGCTTGCGTGCCACCTCTCTGGCCTCACACTGGGTGAGTGCGCTCCAGGCACCCTAGTCCTGACGATGCTTTGGACAGAGCACTACCTCCAGCATCACCTTATGCAGATCAGGTGCCCCTGCCCAGCACCTGGTGCCCTAGGTTCCTTGCTGCCTATTGGGGTCTGTGGGATCGGCCAGCCTTGCGCCCTGGGAAGCTGGGGAAGTGGACCTCCAGGCAATGATCTTCCTGGGCCACCTTAGAGCCAGCTGTCCCACTCCCCACCACTATCACATTTAACCGGGGTGCAGGAGTGCACACCTGTAATCCTGAATGGGAGAGGCAGGAGGATCTCAAGGTCCAGGCCAGCTTGGGCTGTGTCTTCAAACCCTGTTCCCAAAACCAAACTGAAACAAATACCAGACAAACACGCTGCCTGTGCAGAGCCGGGCTTTGGGTCTCTGGCACCGGGACCGTGTCCGGCATCCAGAAGAATATCGCAGAGGCGTCCCCGAGGTGGTCGCTTTGCCGCCACCCATAGAGGAATCCCCATCCCGCTGCTGTGGGCACCGCAGAGACTCAGTGTCCTGATAACCGAGGAGGACAGGCATCTCATGCCCGGGACCTCGGTGATGGTGGAGGGATGGAGAGGGGTTGGTGAGGTTGAGGCAGGAAGGGGCGACAAGTGCCTGGGTGCCAGTTCTAACGAAAGGGGGTGGGGTTGGTGAGTCCTGGAGAGGGGTGTTCGGAGAGAGGAGTGACCTGAGATGGACCGCGTCTCCTCGCCTCATCTAGGGCAGCTGGTGGCATGGGACACGCGGGGACTACAGGTGCGATAGGGTCCCTCTGAGGGTAGACCTTTTATGAGAGCCTCGCGCCCCGTGCCGCCATCCACGGCCTGGCCGAGGTCGCCAGCACGAGCCCGGCCTCGGGTCCGGGTCCAGGTCGGGATGCGGGACTGGGTTCGGCTGTGCGCGGGTGATGTGTGTGTGTGTGTGTGTGTGTGTGTGTGTGTGTGTGTGTGTGTGGAGGAACCGCCGGGACTGGGACGGGCGGGAATCCGGCGCAGCTGGCGATGGGGAAGAGGCGGGGTCCCAGGCACCGGTCGGGCCCCGCCTCATGCCCCTGTGTTGGATATATAAAGCGCAAGGCCAGCGGGGCCCTCGGTAGCCCAGCCCCCGAGGCCATGGCGGGGTTCGCGCCCCTCGCGCTCCCTGGGGGTCGCGCGCGCCTTGGGGCCGTGATGCCCGGCGCGCGCCCGCGGGGCTTCGCCATCACTGATCTACTGGGTCTGGAGGCCGAGGCGCCCACGGGACCGGGGCCAGGGTCAGGACACCGGAGTCCCCGCGCTGAGCTCCCGCCTGGTGTCCCGCGCGCCTTCTCGGACCCGCCGCCCGCCCCTGGCCGCCCGCAGCACAGCGACAGCGACTCCCCGTCGGGTAGGAGTCAGATCTCCCGCAGCGACACGCGCGGCCGGGTCAGAGGTGGGGGTGCGGGAGGCCCCCTGAACCCCGCGCCCGCCTCTGCCCACTCTGTCTGGCCCGGGACCGTGGTGGCGCCCCGGAGTGCCCTACGGCGGCGGCTCCGCCTGGGGACGACTGGGACCCCAGGGGCCAAGGCGGCAGAGAAAGCTGCAAGGTAGCTGGGAGGGCGCGTGGAGCCCTGGGCCAGGTGGGAACTGTCCGCCTCCCGGTGCTGAAAAAAGTCCCTTGTCGCTGTCCTGGGTCGCCTCCGCAGCCCCACCGGCTCCCTGGAATTGTGTTCGGCCTTTGCTGCCCAGCCACCCGTTACCTCTACGAAGTTCAGGCGACCTGCGGGCAAAGAGAAGAAAGAAGGGAAATTCCGTAAAGGACAGGGCATGAAATTGAGAGGATTGGGTCGGGGAAGGAAAGGAGGATCACGTGAGAAAATGTGGCCTTCGTGAAACTATACTCTACAACCTAGCGCAGAGCATGCGGCCAAAGAACACACTGTGTCTGTCCGCAATAAAAGGAGGCGGGTGGGTCAGCAGGCTGCTGAACAAGCAGCTCTAAAAGGACTTTCCTTCATGAGCCTTAGATAAAGTGAAGACATCCATTAAAAATTCAAAGACCAGCTGGGTACAGGGGTGCCAGAATCCTGGTGACTCAGGAGACTGAGGCAGGAGGAGTGCAAGTTCAAGGCCAGCCTAGGCAATTTAGCAAGATCTTGTGTCAAAATAAAAAATGAAAAGGGCAGCAGGTGTGGTTCATGGTAGATCAGCCCTGGGTTCAGTCCCTAGTTCTGCAAAAAATCAGTCAAAGGCCACCTTTATAGGGTGGGTTCCTGTGCAGCCCCAGTGCGAGGCAGGGCACAAGGCTGCCAAGTCCCAGAGTGAGACAGGACACAGCAGGTCTGGCCGCAGAGCCCCATGAGTATGAGGAGAGAGATGACCGCTGCCATAAAAGGGAACAATGGGTGGAGCTAACTTAAATACTGTGCTATGCCCAGTATCATTTCTATATAATCAGTGTAAAGCTACTTTCCTTTTGTGGGTGACGAGTCCTTTAAACCCAGGGCACAGGTGACATTTCCATTCGACTGGGTCCATATGCCCTACAGCTCCTGTGGCCAATGTCTGCCAAGTGGATCATGTACCAGGGAACGTTATGATCCAATCACTGGGTTCTAGTGGCCAAGCGAGGTAGAAGTGAAAATCGTAGTATGTTTTTATTGCTGCCTTTATTCATTTTTTTCCTATTTTGAGGCAGCAAGACTTTAACAGTGGCTCCGATATTAGGTTGGTCTCCTAACCTCCCTTTCCATCTGGGCTTCCTGATGTAATTGGGCTAAAGAGATGAAAGTGGTTCTCACTTTTCTAGGAGCAGCTGCAAATCCTCTGATGCCTTCATCAGGAACCAGAGTTCCTGGACCTGTACCTCAGGCAGGGCTGAGCTCTGAGATCACAGCCTTGCTCTTCCTGTGAGTGGTGGTGATGGAGGGGGACTGCTGTGATCTTGGGTTGGCACTGAAGCACTCTGTCTCAGCTTCTCCATTTGTAAAAATAAGATGATAACAGCAGCTGCTTTGCCTTTTCATTCTGCACAACAATAACTGGATCCAGAGATGCCACGGCCTCACTCTCACTGTCACATATGTCCCAAATGTGTCCAGGGCTTTGGTCCTCCCAGCAGATCCAGAAAACAGAAGGAAAATGTACTCCACTTAGCATACTGCTCTTCCTGTGCCCACAGAGGAGGACAGTCTGTCTGAAGACAAGAGTGACCCAAAGGTGTCCCCCGGCCTGGGCAAGAGGAAGAAGCGACGGCACAGGTACAGGTTGTGGCCTCATTGGCCCCATCTGCCTCTCCCTTGACATAGCTGGGTGCCCTGGGACAAACACCCAAACTTAGGGGCCTAGCTGGGGTTGTCTGCAAAGGGGCAACACAGCTATTTGCAAAGAAAATTCTGTACTCCCAGGAGGCTGCAGATTGATCTTTGCATCATTTTAAAGATAATTTGTAGTTTTGTGAAATGGGTATCATTGAAGGCATTGGTGGGATTAAGAATAAGGCTTTGAGTGCAGCTCAGAGGTAGAGCTGAGCTTAGCATGCACAGGGCCTTGGGTTCCATCCCCCGCACCAAAGGAAAGAAAGAGAGAGAAAGGAAGAAAGCTCTGTCTCTGCCTCATTTGAACCAAACTTCTGGATGGTCCAGGACTGATTGTCCAGAGGCAGCATGTCCAGGTGGCATAAAACAGCCTTTGGGTACAGACAGCAGGGCAGTGAATGCTACTAGACAGGAAATCCCACAATGTGTTCCCACCCCACAGGACAGTCTTTACTGCCCAGCAGCTGGAGGAACTGGAGAAGGCTTTCGGAGAGGCCCACTACCCCGACGTGTATGCCCGGGAAATGCTGGCTCTGAAAACCCAGCTCCCTGAAGACCGGATACAGGTGTCTGGGCCCGCTTCCCCTTCCCAAAGACCCCAAGACCACAGCCACTCACAAGCAGAGGGCTGCTCTGCACAGCCCACTGAGGTCCCTTCCCTGAGAAGCTGAGGACCACATAGTCAGAGCACTGGAAGGGCCCTCAACTCGAATGCTTTTATCATTTGCTACTGAATTATTCTCAAATACCAGGCTGGGGATTTAGCTCAGTGGCCCAGCACCTGCCTGGCAAGTGAAAAGTCTTGAGTTCGATTCCAAGCACCCAAAGGGGGGAAAAATTTAATTTTCCATAACTATGGCCGCTGATTTTAAAAAATCCATACAATACATGTGCTGCCTTGAGAAATGACATGAAGATGTATCAATAGACCGTCCTCACCTTAATGCCCAAAGAAACCATCACACAGAAGCCCTGTCACTCCACGCCTTTGCCCTCCATGCCACACGCATGGAGTCGTCGTGTACAGTGCACCTGTGCGCATACCTAGTCACGCGGTTCGGTCAAGTGGTTTGCCAGATGCTCCTAGTAAACAGAGGCGCACTGATCCACAGCGCTCCCTATTGGCCTAATATTTTCGGTGAGAAATTCAGAAACAGCCCGAAGACAGGCTTTGGAAGGGCCTAGCAGAGGGCGATCCCCACCCCCGCACCGGAGTCCCTGGGGTTGGGGCGCGAACTCCGGGTCTCCCCTCGCCACCTGGTAGAGGCTCGTCCTCTCTAGACCCCAATTCGGGCACGCGTGCTCACTGCGTCTCCTGTCGCCCTCTCCTGCTTTCCCGTTTCCCTCCTGTCCTCCCTGTCTCTCCTGCCTCCCCACCCCCAGGTCTGGTTCCAGAACCGCAGGGCCAAGTGGCGCAAGCGAGAGAAGCGCTGGGGCGGCAGCAGCCTGATGGCCGAGTATGGGCTGTACGGGGCCCTGGTGCGGCACTGCCTCCCACTGCCCGGCGAGGCCCAGGGAGGTCCCCGGGGCTGCTGTGCGCCCTGGCTGCTGGGTGAGCAGGGGCTCGGGTGTGAGGAGCGGGGATCCCGTGCAGGGTGCCTGGGTCCTCGCCATGCCGCAGAGGGCAAGGAAACCAACAGCCTGTACTCGGGCTGGGCCAACTGTCCCATCTATCCTCTGCCTGACAAACTGGCATCTGGGTGGCCTCCCTGACACCACGGGTACCGGGCTGTCCCGGAGGTCCCTTGGGCTAACGCAGATTGTGTTTGGGATGGGAAACACGTAAAGAAAACCTAGGCAGCCAACCCTGCAAGAGTCCGGCGTGGTCCCCGGCTGGGTCCATCACCTGGTCCTGCTGCAGGGCTCTGTTCCCTGACTTTTGTCACAGCCTGGAGGATGACCAGTCACAGATCTGCACGGGGGCTGGGGCAGGTAGGCTAGGAAACCACAGGTGACTTTAATTCAGGAAGCAGGAAAGTTGTTTTTGAGCATCTGCTGGCCAGGAAGATGAAGGGACCAGAGACACTGATTCTTTGTGCAGTCTGGACTTTGCCTCAGTACAGAGGTGACTAGAGGGACTGAAGGCAGGGAGCCAGCCAGGCACTGAATTAGGGTGAAGGGGCTTGTGCTGCACCCACGGGACTGGGCTGTGGGAGACAGTGGGCTCAATCACTGCATCACACAAGCAAAGCAGCTGCACAGAGTGTGACAGCTGGCAGACACCAGCTTTCTTCCCAAGGGTGGGAGTCCCCTTAGTCTTGTGGGAAAGGACAATTCTGATGGGCACAGAGAACAATGTTGAGGAAGAAGGGTGCTTCACTGTCAAATTAAACACATTGTTTTTGTTGGATTTTTACTCTCTCTCTCTCTCTCTCTCTCTCTCTCTCTCTCTCTCTCTCTCTCTCTGCAAGGTATGCATAAAAAGTCTGTAGAGATGATAAGGAAGCCAGCCAGTGAGGACAAGCTGGCAGGCCTCTGGACCTCAGACCGCCTTCCCCATGGTACCCAAGGAGGTTCAGACACCATGGGGCCCGAGAACTCAGAGGTGGCCATGGATCTGTCTAGCTCTGCCCGGGAGGAGGCCAGGCAGATGCAGCAGGGCTCTGAGGCTCAAGCATGCTCCAATCCTGAAGGGCTGCAGGGGTTTCGGCCAGGCAAGGTGGGAGCCTTATGAGACCCACAGGCCCCACCCACAAAGACTGGAGACATCGATGTTTTTCAAAGGGAAAAAGGGGTCCAGGACAGACACCCTTCATTAATTTTCTTCTCATGATATCAGGATAAATTATAGTGCCGACTGCCGTGAGAGGACAGATGGCTAACTTGGGGACAGCTCCACTTCATTCTAGAGCAGAAACTGTTCCAGAGGGACTGGGGTGAGATCTGATTCTGCTTTGTAGAACCCAAATGGGGAACCTGAAGTTCAGAGGATGGTCACAGTTGGTGCCACTCAAGAGGTGGCTCCTTTGTGGACTAGCAGCAGGTCCGATGTCCTCACCCTGAATTAGGAAATGTAAGTTCTTTAACTTCCAGTGAAATTGGTGGCTTTACAGTGGCCATTCCACACAGACACGAGAGTGAATTCTAGTGTCTTCTTCCTGACTTTGGACATTTTGTCTGGGGTCTGGCAGCAACTGTGATCAGAGTGCCCTGGGCTAGGTGTGTGTGTTGGAGCTCATGTCAGCAAGGAAGCCTCCTCACCAACGGTTCAAACAGCACAGGCTGTTTGAGTGTACTTTAGTGACCTGGGTTTCATGACTGTTTCCTTTCCTGCATTTCTTTTGCTTCTTATTTATTATTTAAAAATAAACATTGTGTGTGTGCTACACAAGGCCCTCCATCATTAGACATGCACCCTGGGAGCACAGGTTGCCTGAGGCTGTCCCTCCTGTACCTCTCCTGTGCAAGGGCCCATAGTATCTGTCCTCTGCCACACTCACGGGGTGGCTCTGCAAATGCCCGAGAGTAGCTCTGCCTGGCTCATGGCATCCAGCTTGGAGGTCAAGCTAAATGGAGGCCCAGGCACCGGGGAGACTGATGCTCACGGACAGGACCCATTGGCCAGGCTGTGCCCTCCCACATCCTGGGCCAAGATGCCACAGCCTCTTCTTTTGCTCTGTTTTATCATTCTGAGTCAGTCCTGTGTTGCTGTGGACTTAATGTCCCCAGTTCCTGCTGCAGGGACAGCCAATCTGTATGCTTTTCTCCTCTAGCTCCTGGACGTCACACTAAGCCAAGCCCGAGCCTCCACCTGGCCTGGCCAGTGTGTAGCCCTCTGCCTGGGTATCTTCTGCATCCTGCGGGTTCCCTGACCCTTGGAGCTCTTCCCTGGGATCCGCCCAGGCCTGGGATCAGAGTGGAAGCCTAAAACTCAGGCAACTCACACACAGCCACTCAGGTAGCAATGTCCTGTGCAGCCACAGAGCGCACTAACAGCAGCACGTCTGTCCACCCAGAAATGTGTTTACAGAGCGCTGAGAGTGAAGAAAGTCCATAAAGGAAGGAGAGGAGTGGAATGAAGCCAATGAAAATGAAACAAATACCCTTGATAACTGGCTCTGCATAAAATACATGTAAATAATAGAAACATTTCAGTTACCAGTATTGGGGTGCTGAGGATGCCAAGCCACATCTTCTAAGGCCTTTGGATCCTGAACAAAAAACTGGTCACAACAAGAACAAAAGGTAACGAAGTTTTAAATTCATTAAATGTGCTAAAGGCAGAAAGAGAAATAAGTTCTGCAGAATGAACACAGGCCATAGAAGCAGGGAAAGGAGTCTCCTGCAGAGAGCCTTCAGTGAAAAGGCTGACCGCCACATCGGGCCTGGAAAACCTGCCCGCTTCGCCCTCTGGAGAAGGTTCTAGGGCAGCAGCACAGCTCCTGGATTTCTGCCAGACCTCACCCACTTGCCAGGATTTGCCTCATTTCTATGCAGTGTTATAAAGAAAAGGAGAAACAAGAAGTGGCAAAAGGAAGAAGGGTACAGCAATTAATGTAAACTGTTTTTGGAGCCAGCATCTTGCTAGGTTGCCCAGGCGGGGCTCAAACTCACGGGCTCAAGTGATCATCCTGCCTCAGCCTCCTGAGTAGCTGGGATGGCTGGTGTGTGCCACAGTGTCTGACAGCTAAGACTACTCAAAGGATATAAGAAAGCACTACTAGTCACTAAAATGTTCATTAATATGCTTTTAAAAAATCTGCATTCTAGCCCACAGGTCTCCTAGGGAGAAAAAAATCCAGCCAAGCCAAAAAAAAAAAAAAAAAAAAAAAAACCAGCAAAACAAGGCAATACCCCTATAACTAGATACATTTTCTGAAAAATATACACATTACTGACATTGACTCTATGAAATATAAATACATAAAAACATGAAATATAAAAGATCAGTAACCAAGATAGTTTTAAAAAAAACCATTATACTACAAAATAACTAGAGAGAGCTACATGCAAATTCTTGAAAGCAAATTAAAAAATCATTTTATGGTACACAAGTTGTTCTCAAACCTAGAAGGCAGAAGTATGCCCAATCTGACCTCATTCTAATTCCAAAACCCACAAATGCCCTCCATCCTGGGTCCCGAGCTCCATTTAGCACCATAATGGCAATGTGAAATTCTTAAAAAAACCCAGCATTCAGAAGTCAGTATACCAAGTATATTTAGCCTTTACCATCAAACCAAGTATACTTAGCCTTTAAAGTTCTACCCCATCAGGGTCACCTGGACTGAACCGGGTTTTATTAATTGGTGAGGAGGGAGTGGCTTGGTGATGAGTGACTGTGAGAGTGGCGGGAAGTACGTGAGTGCTGGGAGTGGGGCTGGGTAGGAGGGGAGACAGCATCTCTGCAATAGGCAGAGACAGGTGAGCAGAAAGAGCACCAGATTCCCGTGAGGTGACAGCCTCAAGATTGGAGGAACCTGCGTAGCACAGTGTGAGGAAGAGTCTTGTGTCGCTTTTTCAGTTTTGATGACTGGCCCTCCTGCCCTGAGATGTCACCGGCTTTCTTGAGCCTCAGTTCCAGCTGACAAAGTGGCATTTTGGGGCCTTGCTTACACTTAGTAGTGGGAGCTCTAGGTGGGCATTGCTGACCTGTCGCATTGCTTCCAGGGCTACACAGCACACCTTGGCCAGATCCATGGGCACTGCTTAAAGCCAGGTGAGGGGGCACAGTATTTTCCTAGCCAGCTCTGCGTGTGTCAGGGCATGGAAATGAGGCAAGGTGAGCCAGCATGGAGACAAAGGATCTTCTTTCAAGGAGAGTCCCTGCTGTCTTCCACAGTTTCCCCTTCCTTGTATTTTTTAAATTTTATTTAAAGAAAGACTAAGAAAACAGAAAATAGGTACAAATAATACATACGCTCAGAGAAAAAATAAACAGTAAGAAATCACAAGTTGATGTTTACATATTGTCATTTTACAAGTAGTTGTTCAAGGTACAAGAGTGAAATATGTAAAGTGAGAATTCAAACAGCACTCTGCAAACCATTCTGTTCAACTGTCCAACAAAAACTTAGTAACATGGTTGTCAATCCTATGCACTTAAACATACATGCAGTTATCCATATCTTCATTTATGTTTAGATTAAAGAAACTAAAGCAGGTTAAAATCATTCTGAACAAACAATAATAGTATTGCTGGGTTTCACATCATGACACTCTGGGATCAGCACTGGGTACTGGAGTGTCTTATTTTTTAAATTTAATTTAAAGAAAGACTAATCAAAACAGAAAATGAGTAGAAATAATACATAATTTCAAAGAAAAAATAAGCAGTAAGAAATCACTAGTTGATGATTACAGATTGTCTTCTTACAAATAGTTATTCAAGATACTAAAGTGGAGCTGATAAAGTGGGGATTCAAACAGTGAGACTGCAACCAGTTCTGTTCAACTATCCAACAAAAACTTAGAAATATGGTTATCAATCCTATACACTTAAACATACGTGCAGTTATCCATGTCTTCAATTATGTTGACATTGAATAAACTCAAGCAGGCTAATATCACTCTGAACAAAGAATAATACTATTGCTGGGTTTCACATTATGACACTTCAGGATCAGCACTGGGTATTTTAGTATCTCTTTTTCTTCAAAGTATCTGTTCATTTCATCATGTGTCATAAGATCTGTTCTCATAAACTGTTTACAGATTCTACAAGTGCATGAGTCTTAACATGTATTTCTATCCTTTCTATATTAGAGGGAGAAACAAAACAAAGCATGGCAAAACAAAGCATATTCCTATGAACACATGAAATGAAAAAAAAACATATAAGACCATTGTACAAGGAGTTCTACTATTGTTCCTGTGTTGTCTCTTGTTATCTCCAATAGAATTGGCTATATCATCAGATATAGTATAATTGAATATATCAGTACATAACAAGATTAATAAAAATACAACTTTGTATATAGTATAGAACTTAAAAAACCAGCAGTTATCAAACCAGAGTGTGTATCGTAGAGTCGTGTCATCTTCAGTGTAGTTGTCTATACTCTCAGACTTGATACTATCAATCATACCAGTTTTGAATAAAATCTTCTCTACCTCATTTTTGTTATGCTCTTGTTTGCCATCAGTTGTTTGCTTATCTTCTTCATTCTGTTTTCTGCTCCATTCATTGAGGCCTACTACTGGAATTTTCCTGGAATCCTACTTTTTCTCTCTCTCTCGAATGCCCTGCAGTATTCTCTGTAGACTTGGATTGGTGGTTGTGAATTTCCTAAGTTCCTCTTTGTTTTGGAAGCATCTTGTTTCTCCATTAATTTCTAGAGACAGTTTAGCAGGGTATATCAATCTGGGCTGGAGGTTATTTTCTTTCAGGGCTTAGAATATTTTGCTCCAGGCTCTTCTTGACGTGATGGTTTGTATCGAGAAGTCTGCCGTTATTCTGATGGGCAATCCTCTATAGGTTATCTGTTTTTTTTCTCTGATAGCTATTAATATTCTGTTTTATATTGAATTTCTGGGATTTTGATTATTATATGCCTGGGTGTATCTCTGTTTTGGTTGTAGGTGGCTGGAGTTCTGTATGCCTTATATATCAGAATATCATTTCCTTTTCCTATGTTTGGGAAGTTTTCCTTAATTATTTCTGTGAATAACCTTTGTAGTTCCTTTTTTTGTACCCCAGCTTCTTCATTCACATTTTTTATTCTCAAGTTATATATCCTTTTGTCTTCTTCTAGCCTTTGTATTGTTACTGTTTGTTTTCTTGTTATTTTTAAAAAGTTTTCCCTTTCATACTCCCACATTTCAAAATATTCTTCCAGTTTGGATAATCTATCCTTAGTTTCTTTCAAGCTGATTTGCCATCTTTCTATAGAGTTTTTAATTTCATGGTGATCTCTTTGAATCTGATTCATGTATTCTATATTTTTTGTATTCTTCATTAAATGGTTCTCTCCTTTGTTTGATTTCCTCCCTTCTTCCATCCGTGTCTGCTTGAGGGGTGCTTAATATATCTTTATTAATTTTCTTATATCTTACGTTATTTGGCTAAATATTTCACTTTTGAATTTGTCTATGAGGTCCTGAATATATCTCTTTATGTCCACTGGCAATGTGTCTGATATTGCATGTTTGCTGTTCTCGTTCTCCTTTGTATTTACCTGTCCTGGTCAATGTTCTCAGGGTTGGGACCTGGGGACTTTTTGTTGTTGCTTCCTCTTCCCGTCTTTTTTGCTTCTTCCAGGAGGCCTCGTTTCTTTCTTTGTTGGTTACACTTCTTCTGAAGCGTGCTGGCTAGATGACCCTTCCCACTGCAGTGTGCTAGTGAGTTGCATACAAGGACAGCGTATTCCCTTCCTTGTTTTTGAAGAACCTGCAGCAGAGTCAGCTGTGGCCACATGGCCTCTAGTTGTGGTGGGGTTGTGAACCCTCCACGACACACTTTAATGAGAAGAATTATAAACAGCAGAATGAACATGCCAATTCCGGTATAAAACCAGAAGTGAGCTTTGAGGTATGCAAATGGATTTAATTGTTGTATAGCATCAACAGACTTATCCCAGTCTTTAATTTGGGCATTGAATGTGGCTATCTGTTGTGACATAGAGCTCACTTTTCTCTAAAGAACATCTATAGCCACAGAAATAATCTGAGGATCTCTGCTTGTATATGTTTTCTGATCATTCCCCATGGGTATAGATTTTATTGTGTGGTAAAGTTGTGATACAAAAGCAAGGCATATTCTAGTGATGTTTGAATTCTTGTTGCAATTGTAAACTTTCCGTTTGATCTCCCATCCAAAGGATGGAGGTCTCTGGAATGCTTACTCAAGTTTGGAATTTTATATGAATTTCTCGCTGAATTTTCCAGCTCTTATCAGCAGTTCTTGCCCAGTTGTCTACAAAGCAAGCAGTCTGTACTGAATGAGCTAACGTCACAGAGCCAGTAGCTGCAGTGGCTGTTAAGAGAACTAGAGGTTCTCTCCCTGTAATTAATCCAGTCGTCTCCTGGTCTGGCTGATAAATCTCTTCATTCAGGTCTTCCCAAGAGGGAAGTAGCAGATGATACCAAGCCTCCATCAGATTGACTGGAAGCCAAACTTGCCGCAGGCTGCCCTAAAACTTTCAGTTTCCTACCTCAGTCTTCTGAATGCAGGGGTTACAAATGTGCACCACCACATCTGACTAAAACAGTCTTCATTTTGGTTATAATCAGTAGCTCCTCTTCACCTGGATTTACCAAAACCCCCTCCCTGCCCTCCCCTTCCCTTCCCTGTACTCTATCCCTTCCTCTCCATGGTCAACTTTCCCTTCCCTCCCCTCCCCTTTCTCTCCATTGTCATCCCTCCCTCTGAAATCTTGGGCTCTGCATCTGTGTCTGCAGTCCACCGTGGTGGAAAGCATTTTTAAAAGTTGCTCCTGTAACTGAACCTGCCCAGGCTGTCCCCTCGTCTCCATCTGCACAGTGCAGTGTAACAGTGATGCACTTGTCGTTCCTGTCACCCCGGGCATCATAAGGAGCCTAGAGATGGCCCAGTATATGTGAGTGGTATGCACAGGTCACGGAGGCCCTCATGTCACCCTGTGAGGATGGGAGCATCTGAGGTTTTAGCATCCACAGGACTCTGGAACAGGGTTCCAGATCCTTAGGATCAGGAATCCTAAGGAACAGCTGCATATGCACTCAGGTACATTCCTGCCTTTGGAATTAAATTACACACAAATTTAATTATTACCCCCAAATCCATTTTATTTCAAGTAGAAAAAGAGAAAGGAAGGAAGGAAGGAAGGAAGGAAGGAAGGAAGGAAGGAAGAAAGAAAGAAAGAAAGAGAGAGAGAAAGAAAAAAAGAAAGAAAGAAGCAGAAAACTAAAAAAATTTCAAAACACACCAATCATGGGGCAACAATGGTATATGCATTTTGAATTGTATCCCCAAATCATTCACCCAGAGCACATCTACATTCAGTTGTGCGAACAATACTGGCACAAACTGTTCTCTTTAGTGAACTCAGAGAAACCAGTAGTATAATTATCTTAACTATTCTTTCCTGTACATAATCATATACATACATATATACATACATTGTTTCTTTCAGCTTATCACACTAGTGAGACAATACGTTTACACATGTGTCTTATCTATTTCATTAATGAATATGTTCTCAAGGTGTATCCATTTACCTATACAATGTTCAGTATCATTTTTATGGCTGAGTAATACTCCATTGTATAAAAATACCATATCTTTTCTATTCACCCCTCAGTTGATGAGCAGTTAGGTTGTTTACAAGATCTGGCTATTAAAAATTATGCTGCTATAAATATGAGTGTATATATATCACTGTGGTATGATGTTTTTAAGTCTTTTGGGAAGATACCAAGAAGGGGAATAGCTGGGTTGAATGGGACCTCTAGTCCTAGCTTGTTGAGGAACCTCTACACTAATTTCTACAGCGGTTGTACCAGTCTGCATTCCCACCAACAGTGGAGAAGGGTTCCTTTTTCCCTACAGCCCCCTACAGCATTTGTTATTGCTTGATTTCTTGATAGTAATCATTCTTTTTGGGGTGAGGTGGAATCTCAGTTTTTTTAATTTGCATCTTGAATGACGAGTGATCTTGAACATTTTTTCACATATTTATTTGCTGTTCATTTTTCTTCATCTGAGAAGTGTGTGTTCATTTCAGATGCCCATTTTTTATTGGATCTTTAAATCTGAGATGACTGATTTTTTGAGCTTTTTATGTGTTCTCGATAGTAATCCTTTGTTTGAGGTACAGATGACATTTTTACCCATCTTGTGGTTGTCTTTTCACTCTGTTGGTGGTTTCTCTTGCTGGACAAAAGATTTTGAATAGGGTCAGATCCCAGTGGCTAAATCTGTGATAGTTCCTGTGCCTACACTACTGTCTTCAAGACAGATTTAATCCATCTTCCAGCAGATTTAATGTTTCTACTTTAATATTAAGATCTTTGATCTATTATGATGTTAGCTTAGTACATGGTGAAAGATATGGGTCTGGTTTCAAGCACCCTTTATTAAAGAGGCTTAACTTTCTTTCAGTTAATGTATTTGACACCTTTGTCAAAAGATAAAATGGCTTAGTGTGTCTGCAGTTGTTTTTGCATCTTCTAATTTATTCCATTGATCTTCAGGTTTGTTTTTTTTTTTTTGGCCAATATCACACTTTTATCACAGTAGCTTTATAATATAATTTCAAGTCAGGGATTGTGACAACCCATCTTGTCTTTGTTGTCCAGAATTACCTTTACTATTCTAGGTCTCATCTGGTTCCAGATGAATTTTAGAATCGTTTTCTCTAATTCTGTGAAATATGCTATTGGAATGTTGATTGGGATTGCTTTGAGTCTGTATAGCACTTTTGAGAATATGGCCATTTCCACTATATTAGTTCTTCCTACCCAAAAGCATCTCTCCGTTTTCTCCAATGGGATATCTCTCCATTTTCTAATATTCTCTTCAACCTCCTTTTTCATAGTACTGTAGTTTTTGATGTAGAGGTCTTTTATATCCTTTGTTATATTGACTCCTAGGTTTTTCAATTTTTGGATGCTATTATAAAAGATATTGTTTTCCTGATTTCTGTCTCAAATAGTTAATTCGTGTACAAGAAACCTACTGATTTTTGAGTGTTGATTTTGTAACCAGCTAATTACTGAATTTGCTTATTAAATCTAGAAGTCTTTTGGTAGAGTTTTTGGGGTCTTCTAAGTAGAGTATTGTAACATCTTCAAATAATGATACTTTAACTTCTTCCTTTCCTATCTTTTTTCCTTTTATTTCTTTCTCTTGTCTAATTGCTCTGGCTAAAATTTCCAGGACTATGTTGAATAAGAGTAGAGTGGACATCCTTGTCTTGTTCCTAATCTTAGAGAAAAAGTTTACAGTTTCTGTGCATTTAGTATGACACTGGCTGTTAGTTTGCCATTGATAGCCTTTATCAGATGGAGAAAAAGACTATCTATTCTAATTTTCTGTAGAGTTTTTATAATGAATGGGTGTTGGATTTTTTCAAAAGCTTTTTCTGCATCTATTGTGATGATCATATGATTTTTGTCCTTGGCTCTATTAATATGGTA